GGGGTTGTTCAGCTGCTCTGCTTTACTCTGCTCCCCCCCGGGCATTTCTAGCCTCTGTGCTCCCCGAAAAGCAGCACTGCAGCTGGAGGAACCCCCTTCCTTACTAGCTCTAGAGCTGCGTGCTTGTGAACTGAAGCCCTCTGAGATTGAAAACCTATTGCTTGCACAAAAAGAACCGTAGAAGAATCCTCTTTCCCCAGGTCTGAGGAGTAGGGAGCTTGCACGCTTATTTAAATTTTTAAAAGAAGGGAAGGATAGGTGCGCTCAGGCTGCCATGCAGCTTTCATTGCGTTTCCTCTCTTTGGCACCACGTTCCTACTTAGTTTCTTGCCCAAGATAGGTTATATAAGCTAAACTCGCTTTTTTAATTACTTCAAGGGGTTGTGAGCATCTTAAGGATGGGAAAGCTGTTATATTTATACAGTTTGCAAATGACATATACAAAATATGCCTCACACTGATTTTTTACTTTAGTATTGGAAGCTGTGCTCTCTTGTGGTCCTACAGCTTTTTTTAATGTGATGCTGTACAGTGAAGATGCTAGGCTTCAAGGTTTAACGTAAATAATATTGCTATATTTGGTGTAATTTAGCTCTTTAGGAGTCAGGGTAATAAGCTTGTCCTCAGTGCACACTTTTCTTCTAAAAAAGGGACTGCACTGAGTGACCTCTCGTACGTTACATGAAGGACCATAAAAAGCTGGGTATCCTCAGTCAGTAATACGCAAAAAATATGGGTGCAGTCAGTGATGGATGATCTCAGAGTGTCTAAATCTTGCAGGAAGAGAGTAGTTTAAGAATAATCTTTGAGTCACTGAAAAGACATCTAATTCAACTTCTCTTTCTCTCCCTGTGCTGGGAGTGGCCACCCAATTTGTTTGAGTGGCTTTAACTATATATGTCCATCCTTTCCAAAGCTTCTAGTTGCTTTTTAAGTTTGAATTCCCAGCATCTTAATTTTTAACATTTTTGGGGCGGAGTGGAGAGGGTTGGCATTTCCCTTGCTGCTTTGATGTATGAGATTCTTTGGCAAATGTGAAGATCTTGCAAGTGGTTTAGGTCTGTTTCTAAAAATAATGGTACTGCCATGGTGACTTTCTGTGCTGTGTGCTTTGGTAATGAAATATCATTGTAATTTAAATCACCTGTGCACGCCCTGTGACATGTTGACCTGCTGCCACTCGTGGGCACTGAATCCCTTAACTCTAGCAAAAGTCTGTTTCATCCGCTGGAATGGTCTGCGCTTACGTCTGCATGCCTTTCTCAGTTTGCAATCCCTTTTCTTCCTGGATGTGTTGTTCAATCCAGCCTGACGTTTTCCAGGCTAGGAAATACTATGAAACAAAATGCATTTTTACCTTCCGGCAAGTACTTTCTTTGCTTGCTACGCTTCAGAAAGAGCAGAGAGGAAATGTGTTGCAGGGATTGAAACTGCCCTGTCTTAGGGAAAAGCTGTCTGGATGCTCTTTGACTAGCCTGTACTTCTGCTGAAGTTCTTGTCTGTTGATAATGTCCCTCTGCCCTTTACTTCCTCTCTGCTCTTTTCTCAGAGCCGCATTCACATTTATCCTTCCTACTATTCCACTATGCAGGAAGTGGAGGGTTAGATGAATAGAGTTTATAAAGCATTGTTAGTACTGCAGAGCATCCTGTTCAGCAGTGTAAAACGCATCTATTAAGAATGAGAATGCAGAGTTCAAGACTTCTAAGTTCTAGTTAGACCTGTGAAAGCAGTCTTTAGGGCTGGCTAGAAAACTTCCTCCTTGTGTAATTTTTAGGAAAAAATACACTTCCTACTTCCCAGCAGTTCTATTAATAAGTCATTCTTTTTTTGTCCCCCACGTTTAGCTAACAATGACGTCTCGACAGTTGGAGTAACTAATGTGAAGTGACACTTGAGAAAAATTCTTAAAGGTCACGATGAAAAACTTTTGTAGGCATGGTGTTTGGAGACAAATTTAGGCATAAATCACAAGCATTGCTTTTGATTAGTAAAATATGCTATGGCTCTGGCACCTATTTTTTTTTTTCCTTCCGTGCAACGGTACATTTGATATGGGAGTTACCTTCTAGTGTTTGGGAGGCGGATTCAGAAAATATTTGACTCAAATGTCAGGTTATCACTGATCTTAGCTGCGAGTTGCTAATCTCTCTGCGTCAGTAGGCTAAAAGTCATTATGGTAACAGTAATAGTTTTGGCCTGCAACATGGAAAGAAAAATGAACGATATTTTGGCTGCTTCAATAATTTCAGCACTTAAAGAGTTCTTACCAAGATAAAACCCTTTGCAGCATTCTTGGAAAATTGCTGCTTTCTGTTTCAGAGGTGGCCTTCAGTGTGGTGGGGGAGAGAACAAGGTTGGGCATAGGTGTCCTTCGAGATGGAATTTGCTTAAGTAAATGCTAGCTTTTTTTTTTTTTTTAACCCATGTTGTTATCTTTAAACCCTTTGACAAATACAGTATGCCAAGATAGTATGCCTTCCAAAGAAATGCTTGTTTGCACTGGTTAGCCCAAAGCAAATCACATAACTTTGCTTTGTTTGAGCAGTAAAGTGATAACCAGGTGAATAAAAGGCTTTCTCGTTATGCTGTGTAAAGGGATGCTGCTTTACTACTTAATTTAATCTACCTCCAAAATAATCTCTCTTGTTAATATTACTTTTTTGACTTCCCTTATGAAAATCTTTATACAGACTTATAGAACTGAAAATATGCACCTAATGGGAGCATGGCTACGTTGAACACGGACTGTTTTCTCCGTCATAACTGGAGGTGTTGTATTGTTAAAGGGATGTACCATTAATGTATAATAATAGTATTTGTGTACTTGCTAATATAATTGTTTTCCTACTGATCCTCATTAACTGCAGGACTGGAGTGCTATTCTAAGGCTTCATCTTTGCTGCGGAAGTTCCAGACAATTGAACTTGTGGAATTGATCCCAGCTATCTAGATGGAGACTGAAGTGGTGCACTTGGTCTGCCGTAACCTCTTCTGTGGTGGTGCTGAACATCCTCTGGTGGACTAATTCTCTCGGCTCTAAGAAACAGAGCAAACACAACCCTTGCCTCTTTTCAGTTTTAACTGTCCATTTGCCTCTGCTGCAACTTTGATCTTGTGATACTTTCTTCTCCTGAATTCCTATGTGTGACTCTGCCTATTGCTGCCTTCATACCAGCTTTCCTATGTGAAACTGCTGCTGAAATCGGCACGTGTGCTTTCATCACCTCTTTCTTTGCCTGATATGTCCTCCTTGATCTTCAAGTTCCAGCTGTCCAAACACCCACGTCAGTTCTGTTGTTCACTTTTCATTGGTACTGGAGAAGCGTAACTGCACTGCTGCAGTCAGACTCTGCAGGGTTATGTTTGCTTCAGGCTCCTCCTCAAAATGACTTTGTTTTTAAAGTATGGCTCTTGGACTCTTCCAGCTGTTGGAGAACATTGTGTCTGTACTGTTTTCTGCGATAGTTTATCAGTTAGCTCTTTTGGAAGAGACTCCACAATGGATAACTTGAGAAACATTTTCTTTGATAGCAATTGCAGTCATTAAAAGATTTAATTTTATTTCTGATAGATGATTTATTTTCTGTCAAACCTCTACTTATCTCTGTCTTCCTTTATCTTCCTTTTAGACTCTTTTTCTGTAACTATCTTGCTCTGCAAGATTTTTTTTTTTGAAATATTCTGTATTAAGGATACTATGCATAACCTACTAAGATTCTCAGCCATTACAAGGGGTAGAGGAAGCATGGAATCTTATTTTATGCGATGCCATGACCTCCTTTCCATTCACAATCATCTGGAAACAAATGACTATGCCTGTAAGAAAAGACCTGAATTTTTATTGAGTTACAAACGTTTCTTTAGGATGAAAGAGCAAAATTCACGTGCTGTCAAACTGAAATATCTCTCAAATGCTATATATACTTTAATACAACCTCTTTATGCTCTGTGTGTCTTGAATCCTACTGAGTCAGTTCTGAAGCTCATAATTAATCTTCAAGGGTTGAGCAACGTAAGGGCAAAATCAAACAAGTGAAGCAGTGTTAGTTTTGAAATACCAGTTGATAGCCTTCTTTCTGTTGTAAGGTATTTGCCAACAGCTTCTCAATCACCTATCTCCTCACTACTCCCAAGGGCCTAATTTGGATACCCTGAACCAGTTTTGAAAGCAGTTTTGCCTTGTGTTAATAGCATGTTAAATAACTCCATATGTTTGTGCATAGTGTGCATTAAAACAGCAAGCAAGGAAGATCGTATTTGCTGGCTCTGTAGGGAATGGAGGCCTGTTCTTGCTCTTGGTAAGTTATGAAACGTGCAGTTTGATGAAGGCCCTTTTCTCGTGCACTTGGGAAACAGGGTGCAAGCTGAGTAGAACTGTTTGGTCAGTGTTCTAGTTGTGGACAATGCCTTTAAATTTCTGGTAAGCAGATGAGTTAGTGTGAATTCTGTGTTCTCTCTTCTGATTTAGGTATACTAAAGATGCGAAATGAACTCTTTGTAATCAATCAAATGAGTTCTTGACAGTCCCTGCAAAAACTTTGAGAAGAAATGCAGTGACTGGCTTTGACACAAGTAAACTTTACAGCTACAGTGTCAGTTATTAATAGACTTGGCCAGGAGCCTCATAAAGCTAAGACTTTGCCAGACTAGAGGGCTGCCCTGTGCCGATGGCTATCGGGGCAACTGCTTGGCATACTACTGGCTGTTTGCGTTGACCGTTCTGTCTTCACCCAGAGGTCTTATGGGGAGGATGGAGGGAGAGGGATGCTGGAGACCAGGGAGTCTCGTACAGCAATGGTGGGAGTCTTCACTGTGCTGCTCAGGCTTGGTTTCTGGTCATCAGGCATGTTTCAGTGCAATTTATGGGTGAATCTAACAGTGTGTGGCTACGCAGCATTCAAAGGTGTAGACAGGAAGCGAATTTTTAAGTGCAAATTTATACAAGAAAAGCTCATCCTTGCCTGATTCACGATCCTTCATTTACAGGGAAGTTAAACTTACGCAAGTGTAGCCTTATATCTGTGTACGTACCGGACCAAGTATGTAACTCCTGAGATGCACAGTCCTGAAACGTTCTTCCAGGATCACCCTGTGTCCTACCGTGCAGCCAACTGGAGAAGCCTCATGGTTCTCAGGTTTATTTAGCTCAGACTTTTGCCTTGTTTACAAACAGTGATAATGAATTAAGGATGTGGTCCTGACCTTTGTGGGATATAGCTGCAACTCTGACTTGAGTGCATCAATTATAAATGTTGACGATGTGTGGTAAGAATCCGTTTTGCAGAAATGCATCCTGCATCTTTGTAGCATTATGTTCCTGCAGGTTGGTGTATGTTCTGAATTCTGTAGTGGAGTGGATGCCTGGAGTGAATGCCTGTAGGATAACTTGGTTAATGTACAGAGTTTGGGTGAAATGAAATAACAAAATTGATCTAAATAAATTGTCTGTGCCTATGTAGAGTATGCAATGGGATTTTGGCCTTTCGAGAGGAGTGTGACATGAAGTATTTAACATGACTAGTTTACTCAGCAAGTATGGAAAATATCTCCTTATCCTCATTTTTGGTTTTGGATGATTAGGCAGCTCAGGTAGGCAAAACGAAATTTTTGAGATAAGGGCAGTTTAGAAGAGAGAAAGGAAGGGGGAGGGGAAAGACTTCAGAATACCTGCTGGTGGTTTTTTTTTTTTTTTTTAACAAAGGTGAAGAATTTGACTGAATGTTGAGCAGAATCCTTAGATGGTTGATTTGTTAATAAGATTGCATGAACATTATAATAGGGACTTGGTCTCTTATTTGGGAGCCCTACAAAATGGTGTTTGATGCAGTTCTGTGCTTTCTGTTGCGTATATTATAACCTGGTATGCTATTGGGAGGGGGGGAAAGGAGGAGGCGTTTTTCTTTCTCAGACCAACTTGCAGCAAATGGTAAATGAGTCTTTGTTCTGGTTTGTATTCTATTGCTATATTTGTGCCTGAATGTGGGGCGTGAACACACTTTAATGACACTCCAGACTTTTCCTTGAGGAAGGCAGGGTGGCTGTGATGACTAACATCAATATAGAAGGACAATGGAGACGTCTTAGTTCTTATAAGTTACCTGTAGCAAGATGCAGGGGAGTTTCTGGCATTTAGAGTGGTTCAGAGAATATTGCAGTAAGAACTTAAATGGTTAGATTGTGAGCTGCATGGGAAGGCAAAGCTCTTTGGTACCAGAACCTACACTGCTAAGCCTAGTTTTTGGGAGAACGAGGACCATGCTTGAGTAAGCTTGGTCCCAGGCTGCAGAAAGAGAATCATTTTCACACAAGCTATCTTCCTGGTGTTTAGCTCTTCGCCCTGTGATATGTGCCTGTTTTAACTGACTAGTGCAGCAAGAAGATGACTTTCTTGATTTCTGGGTATTAAGGATGCCCTTTCTCTTGGTCAGTCCCCAGTTCTTCCTGTGATCTGATATGACCTTAGTGGGAACTTACTGTTCTGGACTCTGGCTGCGTATTCTCGCCCTCCCTAGTATGCTGTCTTTATGCGTGTGTGTTTGGCGCTGGCCCTCAACGGCTTTAATTTGTCCACTGAAATTGCTAATCACTTGCACCAGGGTTCCTGTGAAGTGACCTGGGTTTCTTTGTGGCACTCACTGAACAATGCTCTGTGTCACCTTAATGCATTAACACAGCTGAATGTTACTCTACAGTTTAATTATATAAGCAGCAGTGGCCAAGATATTTTTACTGAATGATGCCAGAAGCACTGTGCAGGGTTTACTTCTGCTCTCTAAAGAGTGGAAAGCTCCTGCGTTAAGTTCTGTTTTTCAGAAATTACAGTTAAAAAGAAGTGATTGGAAGAGTCACACTTGGCCCAGACCTGGGCTGAGGAGCTCGTCTGGTATCTCTGGACTGCAGGCGGCCCTTCTCAGGGTGTTTCCTGGAGAACTCTGAAACCAGATGAGTCACCGCTGATTCCTGCGGGGTCACTTAAGGAACTGGAGATGGCGACTGCAGTGGCAGCTCTTCCTGCGCTGGAGGAGGAGAAGAATCATCACTTTTAGAACAGCTTCCCTCTGCCTCCCCTTTTCCACCCTCCCTTGCACATTTTTTAAATGTTAGCTCATTGTCTGGTGATGGGACTCAGATTCTTGCTGAAAAACACTGCGCGTTGATGCAGAAGTCTTCTAGAAGCCATCAATAAAGCAAATAGTCTGAGACTGAATTTCCAGCTTGTACTATGAGGCTGGAAAGGGAAAATGACTATCAGAAAGCCCAATAGGTAGGGAGAAGTCTGACTGAGCAGGATACAAAATACCTTGTTCTTGCTACACAACAACAGAACCTTCCTTTGACAATTTGCAGTATTGAGGAAAACTTGGTTTAAATTAAGCCAAGCACGTTATTCTCTTGCTCCTTCCTTTTCTCCTTTGTCTTCGTTTGGATAGATTGCATGACTTTATTGTAATTTTCTCCCCCGGATATCTCATGAATATCCAGTTTGATGGGGTAGGATTCTGAGGCCAGCTGACATAGGCGCATTTTGTCTCCAGAGACTGGTATGCTGGCTGAGTGCCTCATTTAAGATCACTTTTAGTGCTTTTGTGTCTTAAATCTTGAGCTAGATTCATGGAAACAGCTGGAATTGAAGGGCTGACTCTTTCCAAATGAAGTCCAGTTTTGGCAAGCTGTTCTGGTGAGGCCTACTGTCGGTTCATGATTTCTAGACAAAAATCAAATTTTTTTTTTCCATGATCAGTTCCTTTGTTTAATAGTTCAGGTGGTGCTTGCTGTATTTGTTGCATCTTTTTGCGTGTGAATGATTGGCTTCTTGGTGTCCCTGGTAGGGTAATATTTTTGTACAAATCCCCTGCAGGAAAGCAGTTGCCTTGCCTCTAGCTCTAATCATCTTGCCATTACTAGCTTTATTGTTCTGACCTAATAAAACTCCTCGCTTGGTTAAAGAAATGCTTGCTTCTAAATATGATTAGAAAAGTCTGTGTGTCCTCAAGGAGCTACGTGGATTAGTGCAGTGGAAGAATTCCTTTGAGGTTTCCTTTCATGAGGATAAAGGCCAAGGAAGCATTGCTGAGTTTCCGCTTTAATTGCGCTTTAGACATGTAGTTTCTTGCACAGACTACCTGACACTATTTCAGCAGTTTTTCTGCATAACATTAGCTTATGTTTAGTGGTGTGTGTATGGCAGGGACTCCATCTTCCTTTGTTCGTGCGGAGACTGCTGGGTCTAAAATAGTAATTTTAGCTGGTTTAGCAGGTCCTTCTGAGCAGCAACCCATCATTAAGTGACCACTGAAGACAAATACAATAGCCCACTTGTATGCTTTGCCTTTTGTATCTTGGGCTTGTTCTTGTGAGCAGCTGAGCCAATCTGGCTGCCTGCTGCTGCCACAGTAGGCAACTCGCATGCCCTTTCCACAGGCTCTGATACTTTCTGGACCCCTTCCATGAGCAGAGTCAGCTTTCCACTGGGATAACATTCTTTTTTTTTTTTTGGCTGGGTTAGTGAGGTAAAGGAGCTCACAGGAATCTGAGAAGGGTGGAAGCAAGGTAAAGGCAGAGACAGAGTCGGTGTGGATGTATGAGACATCCTCCTTGAGCAGCAATAAGATCACTTCATTGCTTCTTGTGAAACTATAGCCTTAGGCTAAGGAAAGCTGGTTTTGAAGAGATCTGCCCAGTTTAGAAAATCTGCTTTTTTTTCCTCCTTTGGCTTGACAGCATTAGAACTTTAATCTGAAATGCAGTGAGTCGGAGCCTTTAATTTGATATTTTAGAAGTATTTAACTTCTGTGTTTATAGTTGTGATGACTGGTAA